GGGGGGGGGGAGTAGGGGGGGCTCTTTTCAGTTCCTTGAGTAACCCAAGTTTGTTCCCTCGGGCCTTTGCACTTACTGTTCCTTGCATTTAGCTCTCTTCCTTCTTGCCCTGCAGGAGTCAATTCAGACATCACTTCCTACTGAGGGAGCCTCCACCCCCGCCCTCCTCTTCATCGCTTTCCAGGGTTTCTTTACAGCCCTTACTGTCCCCTCCAAAACTACCTAGTTTAAACATGTGTCCATTTGCCTAAGACCTCTGGATTTTAAGCTGTGTGAGGCAGGGAACTTTGTGGTCTCACTTACTGCTGACAGCCAGACCCCAAAACAGGAGGAGCTCAGGAAATATTGGATGGATGAATGAATGGATGGGACATGGTGATATTAAGGGACCTGGCTGACCACAAAGCAGCAGCAGAGTTGGGCACCAGCCAGGACAATTGGACCCCAATCCTGTGGGCTTAATCTTAGAGATGTGTTGTCCCCACAGTATTTGGTTAAAAGCTTGGCTTCCCTGCCTCACTAATTCATTGTGTGACCTTGGGCAAGGCATTTTACCTCTCTGAGCCGGTTTCCTCATCTGTAAAATAAGGATGTTAATTCTGACTCCAGTGGATTAAATAAACTAGTAAAGGTAAAGCACTAGCACAGGACCTGGAGGGAGTACTGCTAATAACTGTAACTGTGGCTAATATCACCTTCCAGCTTTGAGAATCTAAAGAAAGTGGAGGCTGACTTGCCTGCCTCCCCAAGCTGGGTATCTGGGTGTGCCAGGCTTGTCCTCCCACTAGTTGGACAGGTTTTGGGGAGGGCAGGAAGAGGCATGGGGCCCAGGTGGGGCTGGCCAGTGTTAATTAGAGGGAGCTGGCTGGGAGGAGCTGGGGAGAGGGCCTGAGCAGAGGCTGGGCAGAAGCTGAACCTCCAGAGCCCCTAGTTGTGTGAGGCCATGGGTCGGGGCTTAAATTCTGCCAGACTCAGGCGCCAGAAACGGCGCCTGCGACATCGGGTCCAGAAGCCCAGGCAGCAGCCAGAGGTGAGTGGGCATCAGGGAGCCCCACCCCATGGCTGGGGGTCAGCCCTGTTAGGCCTGGAAACTTCTCTCTACTATACCCCGCCTGCTCTCCTTTTCTCTGACTCTGCATTTTGCTCTCTGCCTGCTTCCTTCATGTCTCTTGCCTTCAAGCCTGTTTCAGGCTCCCTCAGTCTCTCTTTAGGTCTCTGTTTCTCCATCTGGGTCTCTCTGTCCGTTCAAGTCTCATCTCTCCCTCTCTGTCTCTGACCCTCTATCCTGGCCCCCACAGTGGCTGCAGCAGGAGAACCATGAGCTCCGCCGGGGCCTGGCAGCACGGGGAGCTGAGTGGGAGGCCAGGGCTGTTGAGCTGGAGGGGGATGTGGAAGCCCTGCGGGCCCAGCTTGGGGAACAACGCTCAGAGCAGCAGGACAGTGGACGAGAACGCGCACAGGCCCTCAGAGAACTCAGCGAGCAGAACCTACGGCTCAGCCAGCAGTTGGCCCAGGTGGGACAGCCTTGACCTATCCATATTCCTGGGTCCCAGTTGGGGGGTGGGTGCCCTGCAATTGGTATTGAGGCTTAGACCAGCTGAGGGCTCCACTACCTTCTCTCCCCACCCCCACCAGGCCTCCCAGACTGAGCAGGAGCTTCAGAGAGAACTAGATGGCCTTCGAGGGCAGTGCCAAACCCAGGCCCTGGCCAGAGCAGAGCTGAGGACACGACTGGAAAGTCTGCAGGGGGAGGTGAGTACTGGCTAGGGCTGGGGGCCTGTTGAGCCAGGAAGGCTAGGCTGGGGGCTATCTGGAGCTGGCCCAGCACCTCTCCTCCAGCTCTGAGACCTTTCTCTAGAACCAGATGCTGCAGAGTCGCCGGCAGGACCTGGAGGCCCAGATCCGAGGCCTGCGTGAGGAGGTGGAGAAGGGCCAGGGCAGGCTACAGGCAACCCACGAGGAGCTGTTGCTGTTGCGGCGAGAGAGGCGGGAGCACAACTTGGAGGTCACCAGTAGGGTTGGGGTGTGTGGGTGCATCCAGCTGGGGCCTTGGCCACTGTCTCAGGTCTTCCTGGGAGATGAGGCCAGAGCTGGGTCACTGGGAGCCCCAGCAGCTGGGCCACAAGAGCATAGGCATTAACCCAAGGACAAGTGGGAGCCATGGAATGGTATTAAGCAAGGGTGGTACACTCTTAGGATGCATCAGAACCAAGCAGCTGGGAGGTCGGGAGAGGCCAAGGCTAGAGCTTAGGCCTGAGATGATGGGAACCTGGACCAGGTCTGAGGCAGTAGAGATGGAGAAAAGGAAATGAAAAGAAGCAGCGCTTTGGGGTCAAATTTTCTGGGTTCTTATCCCAGGATCTCTTATATTGTGGAACACCCAGCCTCAGTTTCCCAATCTGTAAGATGGGGTAGTAATGGTACAGAGCTTTGTTGAGGGTGTGAGGTACTGAGCACAGCACTTGCTTAGAAGGAAGTCTCAATAAATGCTGGATGATATCAACTAGTGAAAGAGTTAGAAGGTTGACTGGTCAGGGGCCAGGCTCTCTGAGAAGTTACCTGATGGAGTGCGGCTGGAGGGAGGGTGATGGAAAACTTTAAAGCCCGGGTTCCCACCCACACCCTGCTTTATAGGTGAGGAAATTGGTATAGGCTAAGGGGGAGTGCACAGCCCAATGCCGCTGGGTGATCCAGCAGTGGGGGAACAGGCGCCTATAGCTGGGGTGCACAGCGCACTAGCGCCCTCTGTGGGCCCACTGCGGGATGCCCGGAGCCGGTGCACCTGGCCGACCCCGCACGCTTGTCTGTCCGCCCACAGCTGGAAAGCGCACGCTCAGAGGCAAGGGAGGCACTGAGTATGCTGCGGAGGCTGCAGCGGCGAGTCTCGGAGCTGGAGGAGGTGTCACGCCTCCAGGACGCTGACACATCCGGGGCCTCACTGCAGTCAGAGCTTGCCCATAGCCTTGACAGCAATCAGGACCAGATTGCAGATGGACACACAGACACCGAGGTGAGCTCGAAGCCCACCAACCATCCAGGAGGGCTGCAGACTCCAGCCCTCTTCCTTTACCCATGAGGTTCAACACCTCACTGACCAATTCCTTTGGTGAACAGACCATTCTGTCCCCGGAGACCCAGGAGGTGTCCAGTCAGAAGTCTTCGCCCCAGGAAGAGACCTTGGAGCCTCCCAAAAAGAGAGCATCCCTGAACCCAGGGGAGATGCTGGAGGAGAAGGAGATGGAAGTGGCCCAGCTGTAGGATGAGGTGGGGAGGGGGAACATAGTGCTGGATGCAGAGCCCTTCTCAATGTCAGTTTCTCTTTTCCATCTATGACTCCAAGCCTTTTTCCACTAATCCCCCTCTACCTGGATAATCCTTCATCCCAACCAGCTTGCAGTCATACTTTAAAAGCCAGCCTGCCCCTGGCCGGTAGCTGAGTGGTTAGAGCATTGGCACACTTAAGGGTCACTGGCTCAATTCCCGGTCAAGGACACATACCTGCAAGGGCACATACCTGGGTTGCTGGTTCGATCCCTGGCTCCTGGTGCATGCAGGAGGCAACCAATGTGTCTCGCTCACATGATGTTTCTCTCTTTTCCCCTCCATACCCCTCCACCCCTCTCCCTTCTACTTCCTTGGGTGAGGATTTAAGGAAAAAAAAAAAAAAAGGCAGCCTGTATGCCACCTCCTCCAGGATGACTTCCCAGACTGCATTCCCCCCTTAGTCCCACCTCCCAATGCTTCACCATGCACCCTTCCTGCAGATTTATACCACCCAAGTAGCTCTGCACTAGCCTGGGGGCTCAGAAGATTCGTCTTCAGCACAGGGTCACAGCTGCGTGGGGTGTTTGTGGAGCAGGCAAGGGAAGGATGGTGGGAGAGCTGAAGCCCCGGCTGCCAAGAAGAACAAGGGCTTGGAGACCCTGAGGCCTACTTGCCTCTCTGCCCCCTGCCCACAGGTGGAGCTTCAGCGGGCAGAGCTACAGTCCCTGAGGGAGGAGCTGCAAAGGCAGAAGGAGCTGCGGGAGCAGGACCCCGAGGAGGCCCTAAGCAGCGCCCTCTCAGACAGGGAGAAGGCTGTGAACAAGTGAGCTGCCTCTGCCACCATCCACTACTCCCCAGCAAGAAAAAGGTCCCAGGGCACTCTGGTCGTTCTGGGCTTCACTGGTGATATAATTTTTCCCCGCTCCGATTCAGGGGCCCTCTGACCTCCTTGGTTTTGGTGTTAGGGTCCCACTCCCGCCCGGGTCCAGGAGGCCCCGCCCACCCCCGCTGCCAAGCTCGCTAAGGCCCCAATGCCCTCTAACCACTTCTTTGCCCCCGTTGCTTGCAGGGCCCTGGAACTGTCCCTGGAGCTCAGCCGTGTCTCTCTGGAGCGGGACTCCCTCTCCCGGGAGCTGCTTCGCACCATCCGCCAGAAGGTGGCGCTGACGCAAGAGCTGGAGGCCTGGCAGGTAAGGGGCGGGGACTGGGGGCGGGGCCGAGGGCGGGGCCTCGGCGCTGACCCGCTCCTTCCGCCCTGCTGACCTCCCGCCCTGCCGACCTCCCGCCCTGCTGACCTCCCGCCCACAGGATGACATGCAAGTGGTGATCGGGCAGCAGCTGCGCTCCCAACGCCAGAAGGAGCTGAGTGCGGCTAGATCCGCTCAGAGTCGTCCAGCGCCCGGCTTCTCGCTGCGCCGGGGCCCTGGACATGCCGGCGGCTTCTTCAGCAACCTCTTCCGAAGGACCTGAGCGCCGCCCAAGGGGCCTGCCTGCCCTTGCCCTCTCTGGCTCACTTTCCTCTTCTGGCCAACGGGGCAACAGGGCCTTGATTGTCTTCCAAAGGGGGCTGGTACCCTCCCAACCCGGGGAGGCTGGGCAGGGGCTCATTGGGAGCAGACCCCAACTTTGAGGGTCAGGGGCCCCAGGTCGGTGGTAGGGGCAGGTGAGACAGAACTATCTATTTTTTGAATCTATATAGGTCTTTTCTAAGCACTTGGCCCCCTGGCCCTGGCACACTCCTGGGAAGGGGAGGGGGGTATTTATGTATCAAGATCAGACAGAGTAATATATAAATCATTGCACCGACTTACTCTCCATTCTTGGGAAGAAAGCGCATGGAAGAAAAGCCTGAAATTTTATTTGTAAAAATAAAAAATAGTCCAGACCCCTGGAATGGGGAGTGAGGCTGCCGGAGGTCAGAAGGACAGGGAGAAGGCGCGGTAGCCCAGATTGGTGAACACATCCACCCGGCAGCTGTTGCCTGCAGCTGTCAGCACCTGGAGGCAAGAGGGGGGTGACTGACCTACCCACACCCCTGGCCTCCGGGGAACCCACAGCTCTCTGAAGGACCCACCTTGCACTCAGGTGCTGCTGGCTGCTGGTTGAGACTGAGGCTGAGCAGCCCTGGGGAGGAACCAGGCACCTGGGCCTTAAGCTCCCCACTCAGCTGCCACTGGTTGACGCAGGGTCCTTGGCCAGCTGACAGAATCTGTGGAGGGCAGAGAGGGGATTTAGGGGTCAGGGATGGAAACAGGAAACAGGAACCAGGCAGGGGTAGCAAAATCAAGACAGAGAGCCTCACCAGGTCCTGGTAGAAGGTGACATGTTTCTGTGGTGCCCACATGGGGAAGATGGTGGTAGGAGTGGAGGATCGGAGGTGCCAGAGGGTGAGTGCTGGGCCCCCTCCACAGACCTGAGCAAATAGGTGGAGGTCCCCAGCCACCATAAGCCACGGGCCCTCAGCTGTTAGGGCCCGGAGCTGCCACCCCATCTTGCACTTTGCCTGGCTCACCATCCAGTCTGAGTCAGTTGCCAAACATCCAATCCAGCGCCCATTGTGGGGCCTCGAGCACTCCTGGGAGGGAGGAGGGGAAGAGAGGAGGGGAAGAGAGGAGGAGGTCAAGGCACAGGAGATGCCCAGGGAGAAGGGAGAACAGGGTGTAGGGCATGCCCTCACCTCATGCTTGTAGACCTCAATTGTCTGGACTTCCTTGGCCATTCGGAGGTCTATGGGGGAAGAACCATGAGAGGTACCCTACTCACCCCAGCCTCCCTCACCACCATCTTTCTCTCCAACCAGATACTTCCTTACCCCAAAGCCGCACAGCCCCATCTTCACCACCAGACAGCACCTCCGGGTTCCGCTCCCTCAGTGCCAGGCAATGGACATAGTCTGTGTGGCCCCGGAGGGCTCGCTGCAGGGAGAGGGGCAGTGTCAGAATGCGATCCAGAAAGAATGCCGCCCCCGCCGCCCAGCTCCAGGGCCCTCTCACAGTGAAAGTCCCCGTCTCTAGGTCCATCGTATGCAACTGGCAGTCTCCCCCTGCCAAGATGAGGGAATTCTCCTGCAGAGGAAGGCAGAGTGGGGTCAGCAGTCAATGTCAAATAAGGACAGAGACCAAGGAAGGATCGGTTTGGGCCAAAAACAGGGCAGGGTAGAGCCCTAATCACAAAGGGCTCAGACCTTGGGAACGAGAAGCAAAGCATTGATCTCAGGCACTTCCAGGCTGGTCCTGGGGGAGGGAAAGCAGGGTCAGTTCTGGTGAGGCAGCACCTGTGTCCCCACATGCCCTCTGCCCATGTGGCCCTGGCTTACCTGTATGGGGGCTGACGGCGCCATAGCTCCTTACAGCCCTTTGTGGAGGGAAACACTGGGTGACCTCAAAGGCTCTCTCTGGGGCTGGGCACCCCAGTGCCCCTGCCCCTCAGCTCCATACTCCTTACCTTCTTGAGGATCTCTGCCCAAAGCCAGGCCTTCACTTCCCCGTCCCCAGCGCTGAACAGATGTCGATCAGTGGAGACCATGCTGTATACAGGCCCATCGTGGGCTAAATGGAAATGCAGAACCTGTGACATTCTGCTGCTCCCCTCCTCCACCCTGAGGTCCCCTAAGCAAAACTCAATGGCTGCACCCACCTTGGAAGGTCACTGTGGGCTTCTTACTTTCCTCTTTGGCCTCAGAGCTCAAAGCAGCAGACAAGCTGCAGGGAAAGGGGAGAGGGTGTCTGAGTCAGAAGCAGGGGGCATCAGTCCTGAGAGGGCCAAATGCCAGAGCCAATGGGTATTGCGGAGCAGAGGCAAGGGTACCTGAAGATGGCTATCTGCCCATAATTGTTGCCAGATGCCAGGAACTTCCCACAGGGTGAAAAACTCTGGGAGAAAATGGTCATGTGCAGCCGCTGCAGGGCCTGAAACACTTCCACCTGTGGGGAGAGGCTGGATGAAAGCTATCTGGGAACTCCGATCCACAGACTCCTTCCTGGTTTCCCTACGACCAGTTTGGCCACTGCCCATACTTCTCAGACCTCCTTTGAGGCCCACCAAGCAGGCACCTGCCCATAAAGTCCCAAGGGTGGCTCCAAGAAGAGGGTGATGGAAGGAAGGGCAGAGCTGATGCGAAGTGCCTAGTGTGCTTAGGACCTTGAGCAAGCACCCAGCCTCTCCTCCAAGTTTTCTTAACTGTTAAATGGAGCTCACGGGAGATTCTGTCATGACTGTATGAGCTACTGTATATAAAGAGCTTTGCACAGTACTGTCTCCTTGAAAGCCTATAATAAGTCATTCTATTACCCAATAAAGAAAAACATGCCCGGACGGCATGGCTCAGCAGTTGAGCACAGACCTATGATCCAGGCGATTGTGGTTCGATTCCCAGTCAGGGTACATGCCCGGGTTGTGGGATCGATCCCCGGGATGGGGTGTGCAGGAGGTAGCAGATCAATGATCCTCTGTCATCACTAATGTTTCTATCTCCCTCTCCCCCTCTCCCTTCCTCTCTCTGAAATCAATAAAGACAAAGAGAAAAGAAAAGAAAAGAAAAAAAAGAAAGGAAAAGAAAAGAAAAGAAAAGAAAAGAAAAGAAAAGAAAAGAAAAGAAAAGAAAAGAAAAGAAAAGAAAAGAAAAGAAAAGAAGGAAAAGAAAAGAAGAGGGGAGAGGGGAGAGAAGAGGGGGGAGGAGGAGAGGGAGAGGAGAGAATAAAGAAAAGAAAAAGTACTACTTTCTAATCCCTACCCTCTGACTTTCATGTTAGGCCCACGAGGTATTTCTGGGTTACTCTCTTCTGCCCCTGGTCAGAGTCTGAGTCCTACCAACAGCCCACGGGAAACAGGGTTCAGGACAATAGTGCGGCGAAGGCCTGGGGGAGGGGGTCGGGTGCTGGGTGGATGCGGTCAATGGGGGAAAAAGGGGGGCACCTGTAATGTTTTCAACAATAAAGATAATTTTTTTTTAAAAAAAACTGGCTTCAGGGTAGGACTCCCTGCCCGCCCCTTCTGAGCCGGGCGCCGACTACAAACCCCAGAAGACACCGCGCACCACGCCCACCTCACCTGACCCAAAGGCACAGTGTGCGGAACCGCTCGCTCCATCTCGAGAACTACAAGTCCCAGAGTGCTCCGCGCGCGACGCAGCCTCACAAGTCCGGACGTGCTCCAAAGCCGCTCACCGTTGCGGTGCCCCGCTAGTGCTATACCGCCGGGAGGCGGTTGTCGCGTACTGCCAGAGCCCCAGGACCTGAGGTGACCGCCGCCAAGACACCCCGTCCCCCAGACACTAAGTGGCGCCCACGGAAGCCTCGCTACGCCGGATCCCCTCCCCCACCCCGCCGAACAGCTCCGCCTTGCTGCGGCCCGCCACCGGTCTTCCGCGCAGCACGGCCTCTCGCCGCTGCGCGCGCCTAAAGCCACACCTCTCGCGTGTCGCCACGCCCTTGGAGCTCCGCCCCTGTCGCCGGGATTCCACCCCGCAGGACTCCGAACCCCAATGATCCTTCAGCAGCCCCTGGAACGAGGTCCCCCGAGTCGGGCCCAGCGCGACTCGCGGGCTGCCTTGGGGGCGCCCCGGGGCCTGGACGCGAGGTGTGTGTTGGGGGGCCCCGGGTGGGCTTAGCCCAGGGGTGGAGGAGATTTGGCTGAGGACTCAGGGCTTGTCGTAGAATGACACACGGTGGGGCAAATCAGCAGGACGTGGGCATGAGCTGAGACAGGTTTGGAGACTTCCAAGGCAGGCTGCTGGATGGCCCGGAAGAGTGGGGATGACAGGCGTCAGCTGAGAGATATGAGCCGGGGGATTCCTAGCTGACACTCCAGGCTCAGGCTGGCAGATCTGGGGTCTAGGGCCAAGAGGGTGGGGTGCACCTAGTTCTCCTTTCTTCTCAGCTCCCCTCTTGAGCACCAAACGCCTGGAGGAGGAGCTGTGAGTTTGGGGGCAGGGAAGGACTCCCAATAAGACCTGTCACTTCAGGTCCCCATCAGCCTGCCTCCCCTATGAATATCCCAGCCTATCTGCTTCCTGGTTTCTCCCCAGGGAGCCCCTGCGCAAGCAGTTCCTATCCGAGGAGAATATGGCCACCCACTTCTCTCGACTCAGCCTGCATAATGACCACCCTTACTGCAGCCCCCCCTTGGCTTTCTCACCATCTCTGCCTGCACTCAGGTAGGCACCATCCACTGTCCACTGACTGGGCCTTCTGGAGGATCACACCTCCTGGGAGCCAACCTCCAGGCCCTGCCTCATCCTGCTATTTTTAATTTCTAGTCAACCTCTGTTGTTTTTCCTCTGGGCTCCTTCGAAGGTGGAGGCAGCCCAGGAGCCCCTGGGGACCTGAACCTGGTGGGAGGTGGCTCTGCCAGGCCAGCCTCAGCCCTATGCCCTGGCTGTCATTTCCTCTTCTAGGAGCCCTTGCTCTGAACTGCTGCTCTGGCGCTACCCTGGAAACCTGATCCCTGAGGCCCTGAGGCTGCTGAGGCTGGGGGACACCCCTACCTCCCACTACCCTGCAACCCCAGCTGGGGAAATAATGGATCTCTGAGTGCTGGCAGGCAGCGCACCTGCCCACCCTCCTTCTCCCCCACAACAGGGGAGACTAACACCCCCGTGAAGGGACCAGCTACCCTGCTTTTCCGCCATACTAGGCCTTTGAGCACCAAGACCTTCCCCCAACAGAGGAAGACACTGAGCCTGGGGTAGGAGGGGCAGTAGCATGGAAAGGGAGGCATTCTCCCCCACCCCCCAGAACTGAATAAAGATTGCCGAGCAGATGATATCTTCAGTCTGGAACCTGGGGCCTTTGGGAAGAGAGGGTAAGGCTGGGGCACTAGATGCTGGGGTTTCTCTTCCAGATCTTCCCTGGAAAACGGTCAGGGCCTGGCCAGGTCCTGGCAGGCTGGGCTCAGGCATTGAGAATGTATGAGTCAGAGCCTCACCCCCGCCCCCGCGACTGACTCACTCCTCCAGCTCTGGGAAGTCTTGCTGGGGAATCATGCCACTCTCCAATCCATTTAAAGTTAAAGATTCTTTTATTAATAAATTCTCCCTCCCCTCCAAACTTTCTACCCAAAATAAATATCTCCCCCCCATTTGAGGGTTGGGGGGGCAGTGTCTCAGGGCCAGCCCCCTAGAGGGCCAGCCCCCTAGTGTTAGGAACAGGTCCCTAACCCCCAGGCTGAGACCCCAGTGCTGGGATTGCAGCACATCTGAGTAGGTGGGACCTGGTGTTTTATCTGTCCCTCACTTCAGCCTGACCCCCCAAGCCATGGGGATAGGGGACCCTTGTGCAAATGTTGCAGTTCCTAGTGTCAGACATCTGGTGTGAGCCAGCCTGGTTCTGCTTTCCTGTCCTGGAGCCAGAGACAGGGCAGTCAGATACCTTCAAAGGCTCCTCTGAAGCCTGGATCCAGGCCTCAGAAGTAGTTCACCTGTCCCCCACCCCTGCACACCCTTGTGATGCAAGCAGCCTGGCTCTGGCTGTCTGGGAGGCAGGGGCTGGCTCCAGAATGAATGAATGAATGAAGAGTGTGTACAGTACAGCCTTCTGCTGACCAGGGACGCTCATTGTCACTGGATCAGCGCCACGCCAGGACAGCCCTCCCCGCCGGTCTCCTCGATGGGGGCTGCAAGATAACAAGAGGGGTCATCAAGAGCTGAGGAGATGTTGAGGAGTGATGGGGGGTGGGGAGGCCAGGGCACACTTACTGGTAAACTTCTCTCTCCGGCGACACCGTCTCCAAACCAGGAAGCCGGAAAGCAGCCCCAGGACAAGGGCTAGGCTGAGGGCGCCCCCCAAGATGGGCCACAGCAGCCCAAAGGAGGTTGAAGGGACCCCAGCGCCTGCAGGCAGGACTCAGAGTCAGACCTTGCCCCTCTCTGGACCAGCCCCACCATCTAGATCTGAGCCTCAAGTCTTTCCCCTACCGTGGCTCCTACCCGGATTGGAGCCCCTTCCCCACTCGCCTCCCACGTTAATTCGCCAGATCTGAAGCCACCTGCTCCCCTCTCTATCCCAGCAACTCTTTCCCTCATTCTGGGGCCCGCTGGCCCAGTCTGGCCCTGCCCCCCACTCACAGCCCAGGCAGAAGTCGCTCTGCGGTAGCACTCGACACGACTCGCAGTCCATACACTTGTCGAGGTCCGAGCTCCAGGAGCGGCCGCGGGAGCAGGGAGTGGTGCCTGGGGAAGGGGGTCAGAGGCTGGGGGCGGAGCACGGCTATTCTGGGGGCTGAGGTCAGGGTCGGCCGGCTCGTATAACGTGAGTCACCGGCGCCCTCCTCCCCCATTCCTCACAGGTGACCGCACCGCCTGCCCTCCCGAGATACTGGCGCGAGGGGCGGGGGGGAAGGGAGGCTGTAGGGCGGNAATCACCGGATGGAAGGGGGCACCCCACATGGTATGGGGGACACAGACCCCTTGCCTCTCGACACCCCACCGCGACTCCGGTCACTGCGGCTGGGCAAGCCCGGTATTGACCAGGCTGGGGGGCTGCCCCTCACGGGAGGAGACACACTGCCTTCAAACTTCCTTTCTCCACTTCCGAGTTCGAGTTGGACAAGCGGGAAACTGAGGCCAGGGCTGGGGATGAAGCTCGGATCGAGATGGAACCTCCCCTGGCCTGGGAGCTCGGTGTCTGGAAACTACCTGACCCCCGATCTCATGTACCCCCAGTTCTGCCCCCTCCTCTAGTCCCCCAAAGCTGGCTCCCCGCTCCCCGGCCGGGGATTCCCCGGCCCTCACAC